TAGGGATGCGCAATATTATTGTCATGTATCAGTATCGGCCGATATTAGCGATAAAGTTAAATATCAGCCATCCCATTAAATAAATAAAAAAACTCACCGATATAAAAGGCTTCCTTTTTAAGTTATTTTTTAATTTAAGAAACTGTCAAGTACATCTATTAATGCACTACTACTTGTGCACTTTTCACTTGTCGCTTGTGAACAGGTTGAGTTTAGATTTGTGAAAATTTACAAATTTGTACTTTTCAAGTGTTGTCATTGTGTTAGAGAGAGTAAATGTCATGAATAAATTTGACATTAAACATAATCCAAGTTGAAGTGTTACATCATTTTCAGCTCCCTTTTTTTGACATCTGCATTTGGTAGCAGACCAAACTGACAAAGACCATGCAGAATAATGTATTTTAATTCCACAGCAGAGACATCTATGTAGTCTCTGTAAGTAGGTCTAGGGGGGAAAAATATCGGTATTGGTATCGGTTATTGGCCAAATAAGTTGTAACTTTTCGGCATATCAGATATCGGCCAAAAATCCAATATCGTGCATCCCTAATATATATATATATATATATATATATATATATATTTATTTATATATAAACTACTACTTATACTACTATTCCTGCTTCGCGGTTTTTCACTTATCGCAGGACTTCAGGGTACGGAACCCCCACAATAAACGAGGGGTTACTGTACTTTGGTTTTGGCGGACAGACTAGCTTTTAGCTCGTCAGTACTGTTGGACTGAAACTCAGTTTCCACTAACTGAAATTGCTTGAAAAGCAATCTACAGCTGGTTAATTGTTATTAACCATTCCACAGAACGAACACTAAAATGTCCAGCATATCCCTTTAAGGCAGAATCCACCTGTTTAGTATCCAGGTGTGGAGCTAGCTCCTTGGCTCACAGTTTCACTCTAACACGGAGGCCCTGAGGGTGATTCCTATGCCAGGATTTGGGCTCAGTGAGGCTAATTGTGTGTGGAAATGTAATGGCTGACCTCGCTTTAATTCCCCCTACACTCGACTGGATGCTGGAGTGTAGGTGATAGGACAGACAGCAGCCAGAGCTGCTGATGTGGAAAAGCAGGAGGTGATGAAGTGTGAGTAATAAGGGAGATTGAGGAGAAGCTAAAAGAGAGGAATGTGTTTAATTAGGTTGCTAATGAGCTTTTTAATGCACCAGGGGAGGGCAAGCCCAGTGCTGTGATAGGCGAATGGGTAGAGGATGTGTGTGTTTGTGTTATGCTTTGCGTGTGTGTGTGTATCTGCATGTTCTGTTGGTGTTGTGTGCCGATGACATGCCAATGATTAATTTATGACCTGATCTGTATGCAGCAGCAGCAAGTGATAGATGGAGAAGGAGCGGGAGGAGGAGGAGGAGGAAAGGATCGTGTTGTCAGAGCATGATTTAGAGAGCGGCTCCTGCATTTTGTGTGCACGTCCGTGGCTGCAAACGCTCGCTGATGTTCACTTGCTATTGGCTTCTGAGCGATGCTGGGGCAGATAAGGCATGCAGAGAGGGGATATGAGATGCAGCCCTATCTGAGGAGCATCTTCAGCCTCAGGGGTGTTAAAAACAAGGACACTGGCCGAGGAACAAAGGACACTTGGACACCGCAGCCTTTTTTTTTTTTTTTAAGATAATGGAGAAATATGTTGAACTTTTATTAAAACTGGAAGCATGATGAATAGATTTGGCAGTGTGTTTGAGTTGTTTATAGCAGATGAAGCTCCAGATCAGCAGTTTTGAAACGTATTCCCGTGATGTTCTATTCCTTATCATCTATAATCATAATATATCTGAAGAAATGAGCTACAGTGACACCGAGATAGATTAAACCTTTAGTCAATAGAAAGCACTTAGTGGGATAACAGTGACTTGTAGCTTTTTGTTTAAGGAGCTGTGAACTTGCTGCTGACCCGTGTTGACGTTGTGTTGGCAGGGACCTGCTGCGGCTGGGAGGGACGCTGCCGGGACACAACAGGAAGAGCCCGGACAGCAGCCAGGAAATCATCCGGCAACAGATGAGCCAAACACTCCCCATCAGAGTGTGAACTGCTGCAAATTAAAGGATACAGAACGAGGATAAAATAAATTGCAACTACCTAAACTCTGATCCAGAGAGAGCCTGATGTAAATTTAATCAAAAAAGAGGAAAATAAAAGATGGAGGCCCCCAGTTCTGTGAAGGTGGACACTTTGAGGGTTTCTTCCCCACCAGACACTGAACGTCTGTACAAAGAGAACTTGCCATCGCGGTGTGTGTTCATTACTCGACACTTGTGGATTTGTGACTGTTGACATGAAGCCAAACTTCTTCTCTTCCTCTCAGGTTGTGTTCTGCATGCCTGCATGTGTTTTCTGCTGGTTGGGAATCTGTCTTTCCTCCTCTTCGCCCTCGCACAACGAAGGCGAGCTCCGTGAGACAATTAGGCGTCTGGATGACGCAACAGTGCCAAGACGAATGACTCCAACGCAGCTCGACCTCTGTATATTTTCAATTCAGTTGATTTTTTTTTTCTTTTAATCCCAACCAAATATATTCTTTAACTATTTTGAAGAAGAAGAAAAAAAAACCTTGTCATCCGCTTCCTCCTAAATACTGTCTTCCACTTGTACTGGGAGATGTGTGTGTGTGTCACAAACCTGTACAAAGCATCCGAGTCTTCACGCCGTCTCCCTGTCAGAGGGGACACGCAGCGGACACTGTGCGGGACACGTCATGTGCATGCCAAAGTGGAAACGTCTTCATAAGAAAAGTACTAACAAGTTCCACAATAACTGTTGCTTTGATCTTACTGTACGGGCTTTAACGCCCCCAGTTTCCTATTCTTTGGTTCATACAGATCTTAAGTTATTTTCTGTGAAATTTTTGTGTCTTTTTCCTTTTTTCATTTTTTACTGAAGCTTAACTTTTTTATTACAATGCTTGTTTTTTGACGTTGTAAGGAACCAGACAGACAGGAGTGAGTGAATTAAAGAAATGTAAGACTCAGACAGGCTGATTACCTTTAAAACCACCGAGCAGACTGTCAGGATCGCTGTCAGGCCTTTATTCAAGAATAAAAAGCACCCTGGCAGTGCCACGTTGTGCATTTTACTCTGGAGATCTCAGCGGGAGCTTTAAAATGAAAAGCTTGGTCATATTGGAGTTTGTTACTGTATAAAAAAAAAGATGAATAGATAATACCTTACCTGTTGTCAACCTCTATTTGGAACAGTAGTCATCCTGAACATAGTCTTCGATACGGTGAGATGTTTTTCATGCAGTTTTAGAAAGTTTCTCTTTAATTTCTTTGTCAGGACCTGGAGCTCACTGTGAGAAAACATTGTCCACATTCTGTCACTTGTGGACCTGCGGTTTCTGTGCTGGGTGGTCAGATTTAGGTTGTGCAGCAGAAAACTTGTGCTGCATTTTGAGTGCAAGTTGCTGACACATGCCACAGAGAATGAGCCGTTTCAGCGCTCAGTGTTTTGTGAATGCCTTTGGACACTTTGATCATATCCTTGTCTGGTAATCGCACCAATCTGTTTAGCCAGGGCACCATTCCTCAGCTGACACACAGTAGGGCTTATGTTGAAGGACGTTCGCAAGAACTTTGTGCAACCATCAAGCAGAATGTCGTCAACATAAAACAAGTACATAAACTCTCAGCTAATGCATATCATGAGTCCAAATAACTAACTGCAAATCTGTTCCTTTCAGTTTTCTTGCAATTTTTAGTCTTCACTTAGTCTCCCAACAGTCACAGACACTGTCTTTAAATTCTGACAACTGATAATCTGACAGATTTAACTAAAACCAAAACACCAACCCATCCATCCATTTTTTTTAACCTGCTTCTTCCTTTCTAAAGGTTGCTGGTGCCCATGTCCATCAGTCACTGAGGACAGGTCTCCAGTCCATCACAGGGACACAGACAAACAACCATTCACTCTCTCACTCACACCTAGAGACAATTTAGAGTTACCACTCAGCCTAACATGCATGTTTTTGGTCTGTGGGAGGAAACTGGAGTACGCGAAGAAAAAACATGCATGCACGGAGAGAACATGCAAACTCCACCCAAAAAGGTCCCATAATCTAGCAAACTTCTTGCTGAGAGACAACAGCTCTACCAACTGAGCCATCATGGTGCCCTCAACCAACCCCATTATCCAAAATGTCACTGTGGTCCTTCCATCTACCCCCTTGACCTGCTTTTTTATGTCAAGTTTGAATTACACACTGATTTTGGCAGAAATATTAAATGTTTTTTGCCAGTCTGACCCCTGGATGCCTTGGAAGTGCTACAGCTTTCTACTGTTGGTGCTATGTACATTCATAAATAACCACAGAAATCCATCATGTAATTCAAAACGGATGGTTTGTTTTACCGTTAGTTCAGCAGTCCAGTCAATCCTTAATTCTTATTTCTCCTAATTGATTTTATTCAACAAAGTTATGAACAGCAGGTAAGATATTATTTAATAATAATGTTTACAAAGAAAACAACATCAGTGTGTCCAGATGTTGGCTACACGAAGCTAAAAATGTCCCACAAAAAGAGAAATGGAACAAATCGCTGTTTCGTTTCTGCTGATCAGTGTTGTCTTCAGACCAGTTCCTAGTTAAAACAACTGCCTGTAAATAACACTGTATTTATTTTAGACCAGTCCACTGAGCATTTCCAGCTATCCAACATGGCTTTGGCCTCTACATGACTCACATTTATACACTTGTTTGTTTGCTGTTGTGGCTCAAACAAACAAACTTGCAGTCAAATGCTCATTACACATCTGAAACTATACAGTATGTGAAAAGAGAACATGTGTCTTTTACGGCAGACAACTTTTTCTGTGCATTTAAAGGTGTATTAAATTGTAAAAAATGTGCAAAAACTAGAACAAAAACAAGCATTTCTCTTTCAGTATTTTTACGATAATCATATGCAAATAAATTATTAAACAGATTTTGGGCATTCTCTTTGATTTCTTGGCGGGTTCACCAGGCCCAAGTTCCAGGTCTCTTCTGATGCAGCTGCGGGAAGAAACGAGGGGAATTGCAAGTGAGTTTTACCTCCTCAGTTGGAATATCACAGCAGCTCTGAGGGAACTCATTAAGATTTAAGATTAATCAAAGCCTGGTCCATGCAACTCTCCAATTAGCAAGACCACAGGACTGTTCTGAGGATTTTAGTCTCCGTTGCTTCTGGAGAGGCTTCAAGGAGGCAAAGTTAATCTGGCTTTTCACCAAGTGTCTGTACTGTTTGGCTTTAATCTGTCAGCCAGGACACAGAGTGGTGCAGATGAGTGAAGCTGTCACCCTGTGTTTTTATTGACTCAGAGGAAGCTTGTCTGTGGAGAGGCTCCGAGGGATCATCCCTAACCATCTCTGACTGGCTGCTCACGCAGCTGCTGCATGCTCAGCCACCGAGGGGAAAACTGGGGTCGTGTTCATGTTCTCTAATCATCTGCACTGCTCACAGGATGTACACCAACCGGGTCAACACTGAGGCCCGTGGCATTTACCTGTGTGTGTCAGAGCTGCCTTCTCTGGAGAGCCGCTGAAGTTGTTAGAGCCTTTTTTATTGGATTTTTTAAAAAACATCTCAGTTTTAAAATTATTTTTAAGAGAGCCCAGTTTTTAATTATGTCTTTAAGCACTGAAGCATCATTATCACTATGGTACGACAAAGTTTTAGGGCCATGCTAAGAAAAAAAAAATTGCATTACAAGAACAAAGTCGTAATTTTGCAAGAATAAACTCGTCATACGTCCTGGGTTGGCTCACACCTGCTGTGGACAGCCTCCAATGCGAGTCACTGTGTTTATGAAGTAGTCACTTTTGGGTGACTGTTTGTGAAATATGCCTCCATCCACATTATGTGATGACTAAATCTGTCAATGCAGCCATTAATTGCAATGCCGTGTGGCTTCAGTTGATCATAAGAATCCATATGCCACAGTGCATTGGGCCCCATGCTATTGTACTGCTGACGTCAACATTCATCATTTTACCGAAGTTTTACGACTGTTTTTACATGTCAGAGTTCTGCTAATATTATGACTTTATTCTGGTAATATTATGACTTTATTCTGGTAATATTATGACTTTATTCTCATATTATTTTGACTTTATTCTCATAATATTACGATTTTATTCTCGTATTGTTTCTACTATATCTTTATTCTATGACTTTATTCTTGTATTATTTCAACTTTATTCTCGCAATATTACGCCTTTCTTCTCGTATTATTTCAACTTTATTCTCACAATATTATGACTTTATTCTCGTATTATTTTGACTTTATTCTCATAATATTACGACTTTATTCTCGTATTGTTTCTACTTTATTATCTTTATTCTATGACTTTATTCTTGTATTATTTTGACTTTATTCTCATAATATTGTGAATTTATTCTGCTAATATTATGACTTTATTCTTATATTATTTTGACTTTATTCTCATAATATTACGACTTTATTCTCGTATTGTTTCTACTATATAATCTTTATTCTATGACTTTATTCTTGTATTAGTTCGACTTTATTCTCGTAAAATTATGACTTTATTCTCATATTATTTTGACTTTATTTTCATAAAATTACAACTTTATTCTCGTAATTTCATAACTTTTTTCCCGTACTGTAATATTTTTTCTTTCTTAGTGTATTTTTTTTTTTCTTAGCGTGACCCTAACACTCTGTCGTACCATGGCCATCATTGCTAATTTCTACAACAATGTTTGGTTTACTATTATTTACTACTATTTCTGCCACTTACAAAAAAATACATCAAAATGAGTGTCTCAGTAGGAAATAGTGCCATGTCTTTTGTTAGCAGTAAATTATACAGTGTAGATAAAAATTTGCTGTACAATAAATGTAAAATGTTTTTATGTAGAAAACAATAGAATTTTGTTGGACTGTTTGGAGCTCTGTAGCTCATCTCACAATAATGTCATTTGAAGTTGAAATAGGTCACAAAGCATTGGACTTTATAAAACTAAACCAGAATTTTTTAATCTTAAAGGTTTTCAAACAATTACAGTTTAAGATGTTTAAACTTCACAAAAGTTTGCAAACAAACCCTTCTTTTTTGCCATAAACTATAGCCTCTTGTACATCAAAATGTACTAATTTATCTTTTTTCCTCCCCGTGTGTTTCTCACTGATGTAGGATGTGCCATTTTCTCTCAAAAATCCTCTGAGTACAGTCACACATTCAAACTCAGTGATATCCATATTTCTGCTGAAAAGTGGAACAACAGGGTATTTTCCTTGTCATATCCCCTACATAAAACACTGTAGCACATACAAATATCTGCTACTAATGTTTAAAAATCTAGTATTCACACAGTAATAGTAATGTTTAGTATTCTTTAATAGTGGTGTTTCTCAAAGCTTACATTTTACTCTGTGATTCTGTCTGCCTGTCTCATTAAGAGTGCTCTCAGAGGGTGAGACAT